ACTTCCAGCAAGCAAGGTTGTGTCATCTGCATGTAGCAGGATGTTAATGAGTCTTCTTCCAATCCTGATGCTGTGTTCTTCTTCATGTAGCCCAGCTTCTCAGATTTGCTCAGCATACAGATTGAATAAGTATGGTGAAAGGATACAATGATGACACACTCCCTTTCTGATTTTAAACCATGCAGTATCCCCCTGTTCCATTTGAATGACAGCATCCTGGTCTTTGTATAAGTTCCTCATGAGTGTAATTAAAAACATACAAATGGCCAATGTGAAAACTAAACTCACTGCCATCAAGTCATTTCTGACTCAAAGAGACCCCCTTTGGGCTTCTGAGGCAGTAAATCTTTAAGGAAGTATCTACTTGCCCAGTCTTCCTTCTGCAGAATGGCTGTAGGTTTGAACCACCAATCTTCTGGTTACCAGTCAAAATGCCTTAAGCACTATGCCACCAGAGCTCCTTACTAAGTGTTCTGGAATTCCCACTCTTCTCAATGTTATCCATAATTTGTTATGATCCACACAGTCAAATGCCTTTGCATAGTTAATAAAACACATACAACCATCTTTCAGGGATTCTTTTGACCAAAGTAGGTGAGACAAAGTCTGGCCATTTTCACTTCCAAGAAGTATTCTGGTTGTACTTCATCTAGGATAGATTTGTTTATTCTTCTGGAAGTCCATGGTATTTTCAGTATTCTTTGCCAATACCACAATTCAAAGGCATCAACTCTTCTTTGGTCTGTCTTATATATCGTCCAGCTTTCACATGTATATGAGGTGATTGAAAATACCATGGCTTGGGTTAGGCAAATCTTAGTCTTCAAAGTCACATCTTTGCTTCTTAAAAATTTAAAGAGGTCTTTTGCAGCAAAAACCCATAGAGTAAGGGAAATTATTTGTAAATCATATATTTGATAAGGGACTTGTACTGAGAATACATAAATGACTCTTGCAACTCAATATGAAAAGACAATTCAATTAAAAATGAGCAAAGGATCTGAATAGGTACTTCTTGAAAGAAGACATACAAATGGCCAATTAGCATGTGAAAGACATTCAACAACACTAACCATCAGGGAAATGCAAATCAAAACCCTAATAAGATACTCTTTTATACCTACTAGAATGCTTATTCCAGAGCTCTGGTGGTATAGTGGTTAAGGCATTTGGCTGCTACCCAAAAGGTTGGAGTTGGAACCCTACAGCTGCTTCATGGAAGAAGGATGAGACAGTCTGCTTCCATAAAGATTTACAGCCTGGGAAACCCAATGGGGATCATTATGAGTTGGAATCAACTTGATGGTAGTGAGTTTGGAGTTTGGAGGGTGCTTATAATAAAAATTATTAAAAAACCAACAGACAATAACTGGTGTTAGAGAAGATGCGGAGAAACTGGAGCCCTCATATGTTGCTGGTGGTAATGTAAAATGTAGCTGGTTTGGAGAAAAGTGGCATTTCCTCAAAGATTAAGCATAGGTACCATGACCCAGCAATTCCACTCCTACATACATACCAAGAAAAATGAAAACTAGTGCATGAAGGTTTATTGCTGCATTATTCATAACAGTGAAAAGGTAGAAAAACACTAATGCTTATCAGTACATGCATGCATGAACAAAATGTGATAATCTATACAATGAAATCCTAATCAGCCATAAAAAGATATGAAGTACTGATACACACCACAACATGGATGAATCTTGAAAACATTATGCCAAGTGAAAGAAGCCAATCACAAAAGGCCACATATTATATGATTTAATTCCTAAGAAAGTCCAGAACAGGGAAATATATATGGTAGGTCAGTGGTTGCTAGTGAATGGTAATGGGAGAGACAAAGAGATATGGAGGTGAGAGCTAAACAGCGAGGTTTCTCTCTGAGATGATGAAAATGTTATAAAAGCAACTGCTGTAACAGCTGCACCAGTTTGACTATATTAAAGACACTGAATTATAATATTAAATAGATAAATTATAAATGATAGGAATTATACCTCAATAAAGTTTTAAAAAAATCAATAATCAAAGTCAATGCATTCCTACAAACCAATAACAAATTGATAATATCAATTTTTAAAGTTACCACTTAAATAGCCTAAAAAATATAAATACCTGGAAATAGATTTAACTAAATATATCCATAACTTTCACAGAATGTTAAAAGACTTTAAAGGAGACCTAATAGAAAAACATACACTTTCAAATTTCAAAATAATAAAAAAGCCAATTCTCCTCAAAGTGAGTAGATTCAGTGCAACTCCAATCAAATTTAATTTAAAAGCAAATTTTTTGGCATAACTTGACAAGCCAATTCTAAAGTTTATATGGAAAAGATAAGGGCCCCAAATACCCAAGATACATTTCAAGGAAACAGTAGGTTACTTGTCTTACCAGATACAAGTAACTATTACAGAACTACAATAATTAAAGGAGTGTAGTACTGCAATCATATAAAATGACCAATATTAAAGAAAAGGGACCCAGAAATGAACCTAAAACATGGAAACTTGATATATAACAGAGTTTGTAATGCATATCAGTAGGAAATAGATAGACTTTTCAATAAATGGTGCTAGAGTAATTATTTCTATATGGGAAAAAAGATAAATTCCTAATTGGATTAAACACCAAATTATGGACAGAAAAGCTAAAATCAATACCCCCTTTAGATCTAAGCAAGAGTGCCTCTGCCCTGGCACCATGATTTTAAAGGTCTTTGGTCTTACTGTTCTCTAAGCAAGTTCCATAGGGTAAGTGGTTTGTAGGACCAAAATGACACATCTACTTGCAGCTCATGCATCCCCTTCAAGACTGGGCTCCAGATACCCAAGACCTGAAATAATCTCCTTAAATGGCTACAAGCCAGCTTCCACAACCTGCACAGTCCTCCTCCCTACATTGGTCTCTGGAGAATGGACTGTGCCACAGATAAATGTACACTTAGGCCCCAAAGGTGGCTAAGAATTGGTTATTGTGGGAGGTGGGGATGGAAGTCAGACACATAAGCTAGGGTACTCACATGTTGGCACATGATAGTCCTTATTGTACAGGACAGAACCGGGGTGAAAAGACAAGGCAGAGGGCCCCAGAGTTAGAATGGTCCAAGCCTCTATTTTTTCAATGTAGAATTCTATTAGAAGTCTAAAAACAAAACCAAATGCACTGCCATCGAGTTGGATCCAACTCACAGCGACCCCTCCTTGGGTTTCTGAGGTGCTATCACTATGGAAGTAGATTGCCCAACCTTCCTTCTGAGGAGCAGTTGGTGGGTTTCAACCACCAGCCTTCTTGTTAGCAGTCAAGTGCCTTAGGCATTATGCCACCAGAGCTCCCAAACTCTGATCTAGGGTAATAATCTAATCTTGCAACAGGAAAAAAGTTTAAAACAAGGCACAAAGAGTGAAAATTATGAAAAACTGACAAATTCATCTATGTTAAAATTAAGGATAAGAATTCATTAAAAAATATCGTGAAGTGAAAAGACAAAATACATACTGGGATATTATATTCATAACACTTACAACTGATAAAGAATGACTATACAAAATAATTTCTATAATCAATAGGAAACAAACATGCCCTTTAAAAACAGGCAAAAGTCAAGAGCAGGCATTTCATGGAAAAGAACCAAGTACTGCAATGACAAATATGAAAAGATGGCGAATTCATTAGAACCAAGGAAATGCAATTAAAACCATAATGTGGTACCATTTCACACCTACAATATTTTCAAAATTTTTAAATCAGATCTGCAGCCATAGGCACTTTCATCAACTCCTGGAGTGGATTGAAACTTGTCAAAGACTTTAGAAAAGTTTTCCATTACCAGTAAAAAATAACATATGCACATCCTACAACGTGTCAATTCCCCAATTAGGTATGAAAACTAAAAACCAACTCTTGATACAGGAACCCGAAGGGATATGTACACTTTTTTTTTTTTTTATTTGGGTGAAGATTTACAGAGCAAATTCACTTTCCACACAGCAGTTCACATATACTTTGTCTCATGTCATTGACCACAATTTACCACAATGCAACAGCTCCCTTCCCACTTCCTCCCCATAGTTACCTCTTCCCAGTGTCCATCCCTCCATACTCTTCTGCCCCCTGAGCTGTCTTCCTGTGCATAACCAGCCCTTCCTACTCCCATGATTGTACTCTCCAGGGCGGCACACAAATTTTTATACCCACTGCCATTGAGTTGATTGCAACTCATAACAACCCATTGGGTTTCCAAGGCTATAAAATCTTTACAGAAACAGATGACTTCAGTTTTCTCCTGCAGAGCAGACAGTGGGTTTGAACCACTAACCTTTGTGGTTAGCAGCTGAATGCCTTAGCATGGCACCACCAGAGCTTCTCACACAAATTTTTATAGCTGTGTGTATTCTAGAAAAGGGAAAAACAAGCAAAGCAAAGCAAAACAAACTAAAGCAATAACTTCAAATGACACATATATACATCAGCAGAGGACTGAATAAGTATATTATGTTATAGTCACACTATGGACTACCACACAGAAAAGAAAATGAATGATAAATAGTTATAAGCACTAATATGGCTGAATTAATAAAATAAAATGTTGAGTGCGACACATATATATTCATTATAAAGTTCAAAAATAGCAAAATACACAACAACACATTATCTAGTAACACATACACAGAGTCTTAAAACAATAAGGGAGATCAAGGGAATGACTACCCTAAAATCCAAAATCATGATAGAGGTGGATGGGGTGAAATCTGTGAGTGATACACAGGCATTTCTAAAGTACTAGAATGGTTTTCATTTTTAACGTCAGGTACACTGAAGTTTATTACTTATCTTCAAATTGTACATAGATTTCATATATACTCTTTTGTATGTAGATATAAAAATAAACCACAATTTAAAAATTGCAGTATAAACTTGAAATTTTTCTTATGTGTCTTCTTAAGACAAGGTGTTTTTATTGCCAAATAAATATATAGAGATTGTAAATGAATCCTTACCCTGTGCAGCTTTTTTAACATTTCTAGGACAGCTTGAATATGACGGTAATCCTTTGCACTTTCAGTCCGAATAGAAAGTTGAGAGACAATGGTTCTTTTAAGCATCTGGACCAGGTTGCCAAAAATGGATTCTTCCAAAGATGCCCAATAGTTCTCTGAGAGATACACAAAGGGTAAATATAATTGTCAGGGAATATATGTAAACATATATGTAAACAGAGTGTAGTTTCTCTTTAATCTATTTTTTTAAATTATGAAATGTAAAAGATGAGATTGCTTTTCTTTTAACCTCCTCACCCTTTCCTTTTTCTTTCTCTTTTTTTAAATTTTCACTGTGATTTGGGTGAAAGTTTACAGAGCAAATTCATTTTCCACAGAGCAGTTCATACACATTTTGCTTCATGACACTGACTGCAATTCCCCACAATGTAACAGCTCTGTTCACACTTCTCCCCGTAGTTACCACTAGGGTAACTACCTTCCCCTCCGGAGCACTCCCTTCCCCTCCCCAGTTGTCTCCCTGTGAAAACACTGCCTTTCTGTTCTCCATGACAGATTGCTCCAAGGAGTGTATCTACCTGATGTAAATGCTCACCCTATATGTCTGTCTATTGTTTGGCTGGAAGCCACAGGAATGAGTTCAGTTCCAGACCAGAAGGTTAAGGAGGGGCTACAGTCTCACCAGGCTCTATGAGACCAGCAAACCTAGACGTTTTTTTTTTATGATTTTGAGTTTTGTTCCACATTGTTCTCCCACTCTATCCAGGATCTCTTGCACCATCCCTCTCCAAGTGGATGACAGTGGTAGCCAGGCACCATCTAGTTCTTCTGTCTCATGGTCATATAGGCTGAGGATTACATGGTTTATCAGTCCCTTGAACTAACTGTCTCCATGAAGCTTTAGTTTTCTTCACTCATCTTTGCTCTGTATGATGAAAGACCCATTGTTGCATCTAGATGGCCGCTTGCAAGCTTTTAAGACCCCAGTTAAGATCCTCACCATAGTAGGATGCAGAACAATGTTTCTGTGTAGTGTGTTATGCCAATTGAGCCTGATATCCCCTGTGACCACAGTCCTGAGCCCATGGGTCCAACTACTCACTCCCTCAGGGTAAGTGGTTATGGCTAAGATGCCACCATAAACTTGCCCCTTGTCTACTTACACCTGGACATTCTTACAGCTCATACAAGTATGCATGTAGAAATACTGTCTGCTAACCCTCTCAAATCCTTGATGATAAAAAAAAATGATATTTTCCAATACCGATGAAAAGATATTTAAAATACATATCACAATTATAAAACCGTATTTGTAATAAATTATTCAGTGAATAAATGAAATTATAATTAAATGTTTAGGATGTAATGTCCTGGAAAAAAATTCTTAACAGTTAATAGACATACAAACTTTAATTAATTTGTGAAGAAAAGAGACAGACAAAATTAACCATATTATTTGTTCAGATGGGATAACATACTGTATTAAAATCTAGATTAAGAATTGTTTATGATTGTACAACTTTTTTATGTCTGTGCTACCAGTTTGACTACCACTTGTCATTTGTCATACTGTGGTGACCTGTGTGGTGCTGTGAGGTTGATAGCTATGCCACTGGTATTTCAAATACCAGCTGGGTCACCCACAGTGGACAAGTTTCTGTGGAGCTTCCAAACTAAGATAGACTAGAGAGAAGGAGGGGGCCATCCACTTCTGAAACAACTGGCCAGTGAAAACCTTATGAATAGCAGTGAAACACTGTCTGATATATTACTAGAAAACTTTATGAATACCCCTGAAACATTGTCTGATACAGTGCCAAAAATGAGCCCACCAAGTTGGAAAGCGCTGAAAATACAACTGGGGAAGGGCTGCTTCCTCAAAGTAAAGTTGACATTAATGACGGATGGAGTAAAACTTCCGGACTTCCATTTGCTCAAAATGGGAAGAAATGGCTGCCTCTTAATAATAAGAATGTGGAATGTATGAAGTATGAACGTAGGAAAATAGGAGGTTGTCAAAAATGAAATGGAAAGCATAAAGATTGATATCCTAAGCATTTTGTTGTTGCTGTTGTTACATCCCGTCGAGTTAGACTCGACTTATAGCAACCCCTCCTTGGGTATCCGAGGCGGTATCACTATGGAAGTAGATTGCCCAACCTTCCTTCCAAGGAGTGGCTGGTGGTTTGAACCACCAGCTTTCTGGTTAGCAGTCAAGTGTGAGCTGAAATAGACTGATAGTGGCCACTTTGAATCAGACAATCCTAAAGTTTATTATGCCAGGAATGACAAACTAAAGAGGAATCGTACTACACTCATCGTAAAAAAGGATGTTTCAAGACCTATCCTGAAGTACGATGCTGTCAGTGATAAGGTATTGGCAAAGAATACTGAAAGTACCATGGACTACCAAAAGAACTAACAGACCTGTCCTGGAAGAAGTGCAGCCAGAATGCTCCTTGGAAGGAAGACCGGGCAGATTTTGGTTTACCTACTTTGGTCATGTTGTCAGAATGGACCATTCCTTGGAGAAGGATATCATGCTTGGTAAAGTAGAGGGTCAGCAAAAAAGAGGAAGACCCTCAATGAGATGGATTGACACAGTGGCTCCAGTGATGGGCTCAGATATAGGAAGGATTGTGAGGCTGGCACAGGACTGGGCAGTGTTTCATTCTGTTGTGCATAGGGTCACTATTAATTGAAGCCAACTCAATGGCACCTGACAACAACACAAGGAAGATCAGTTAATATTACTATTATTCAAATTTACACACCAACTACTAAAGCCAAAGAAAAGAAATAGAAGATTTTTACCAACTTCTGCAGTGTGAAATTGACCAAAGACGCAACCAAGATGTATTGATGATTGGAATGTGAAAGGTGGAAATGAAGAATCATTGGTAGTAGGAAAATATGGTCTTGGTGGTAGAAAAGATGCAAAAGGTTACATGATAGAATTTTGCAAGACCAACAACTTATTCATTGCAAATACCTTTTTCAACAACATAACAGCGGCAATACACATTGACCTCGCCAGATGGAATACACAGGCATCAGATTGACTACATCTGTGGAAATGGGCAATGGAGAAGCTCAATATCTTCAGCCAAAACAAGGCCAGGAACTGACTGTGGAACAGACCATCAACTGCTCATATGCAAGTTCAAGCTGAAGCTGAAGACAGTTAAAAGAAGTCCACGAGAGCCAAAACAGGACCTTGATTATATCCCTCCTGAATTTAGAAACCATCTAAAGAATAGATCTGACACACTGAACACCAATGACCAAAAACCAGATGAGTTGTGGTACGTCATCAAGAACATCACCCATGAAGAAAGCTACAGGTGATTAAAAAGACAGGAAAGGAAGAAAAGACCAAAATGGATGTCAGAAGAGACTGAAACTTGCTCTTTGAATGGAGATTAACTAAAGCATATGGAAGAAATGATAAGATAAAGGAGCTGAACAGAAGATTTCAAAGAGCAGCTCAAGAAGACAAAGTATTATAATGAAATGTGCAAAGACCTGCATTTAAAAAACAAAAAGGAAAGAACATGCTCAGCATTTCTCAAGCTGAAAGAACTGAAGAAAAAATTCAAGCTTCGAATTGCAATATTTATAGATTCCATGGGCAAAATACCAAATGATGCAAGAAGCATCAAAAGAAGATGGAAGGAATACACAATCACTGTACCAAAAAGAATTGACTGACATTCAGTCATTTCAGGAGGTAATATATGATCAAGAACCAATGATACTGAAGGAAGAAGTCCAAGCTTCACTGAAGGAACTGGAGAAAACCAAGGCTCCAGGAATTGATGGAATAGCCATTGAGATACTTCAACAAATGGATGCAGTGCTGGAGGTGCTTACTTGTTTATGCCAAGAAATTTGGAAGACAGCTTCCTGGCCAACTGACCGGAAGAGACTGGTATTTGTGCCCATTCCAAAGAAAGGTGATCCAACAGAATGCAGAAATTATTGAACAGTATCACTAATATCTAATGCAAATAAAATTTTCCTGAAGTTATTTCAAAAAAGGGAAGGGCAAAGTACCAAATGTAAGTGATCAATACGGTGGCATTGAGGAAGAGGAAGGCATAGAGAAGTACATGGGGAAAAAAAGAAATTAGATAATAATGTATTCCAATGGGCAAATCTGCTGCAAAGACCTCTTTAAAGTGTTAGAAAGCAAAGATGTCCTTTGAAGACTAAGGTGTGCCTAAACCAAGCCAAGGTATCTTCAATAGCCTCATATGCATGTGAAAGCTGGAGAATGAATAAGGAAGAATGAAGAAGAATTGATTCTTTTGAATGATGGTATTGGTAAAGAATACTGAAATTACCATGGACTGCCAAACAAATGAACAAATCTGGAAGAAGTGCAACCAGATGTTGCTTGGAAGTGAGAATGACCAGACTTCACCTCACCTATTTTGGTCATATTGGAAGAAGGGACCATTCCCTGAAGAAAAGTATCATGCTTCATAAAGTAGAGCATTACTGAAAAGGGGGAAGACCCTCAACAAGAAGGACCAACACAGATGCTTCAACAATGGGCTCAAGTATGGCAAAGATTGTGAGGGTGGCACACGAGCGGGCAGTGTTTTGTCCTATTGTACGTAGGGTTGCTATGAGTTCAAGCCGACTTGACAACACTTACCTACAACAATATGAACTAAAAATATGAATGTATTTACAATTATTTAAGTATGTTTTGCTATAACTTTCAGAAGTATTTGTCTTATCAAAATATTTTCAAATGTAAATAATCGATCTTACCCAGAACCCCTGAAAACTGGTCACTGATTTTACAGACAGCTTCTGCAAATGGAACCACCAAGCTCTTCCAGTTGTTAGAATCTTGCATCACAGGACATTCTGGGAGCAGGAAGAAAATTTCTAAAGCTTCTTGGTATGGAGAACCCAGTGGAAGATTTTTGAGCAGATTATCCCTAAGACATGTGGTGATCTGTAGACAAAAACGATCAGGTGTCATGTATGTGGAGGAGCACTCAAACACAGCAGGTGTTCACTGGGTTGACATATTGTAATAAATCAAGTTTTAGACTTGGTGTTTCATTTCATCACAAGATTGGAATAATCATTTAGTATTTTCTGAAAGCCATGTTTACACTCCATCGTATCTACCTCCCAAGTAAGTGCCTGAGGTAGTGTCTTTGTCATCTAGTGTCGCTATAACACAAATATGACAAATGGATGGCTTTAACAAACAGAAATTTATTTTCTCACAGTTCAGAAGGCTAAACATCCTAATTCATGCGGCCAGCTCTAGCTCTAGCTCTTTCTGTTGGCTCTAGGGGAAGGTCTTTGTCTCTTTAGCTTTTGTTTCCTGGTTTCTTGGACACTTCCATGTGCTTTGGCATCTATCTTCCCCCATCTCTGGTTGCTTCTTTCAGATCTTGTAAGAGATCCTATAGTAATCCTGCCTCATTAGTATATTAACAGACAACTCATTTCCAAATAGGATTATAACCACAGACATAGAGGTTAGGATTTACAACACACATTTCTTGGGGACACAATTCAACCATAACAGGTAGGATTCCCCCATTTAGTTGTTGGGGTGCATGAAGGAGATCAAGAAGAAATCACATGTGCAAGAATTACATTGGACTGGTTTCAGAACTAGTAGACTGTCCTCCCAATGTTAAGAAGTATATTCTACCCTCCAGATCAAACGACGACACCTGATGATTTTTAAAGAGGAGAAATGTATGAGAGCCATAAAAAAGCAAATGAAAAATAATAAAAAAAAAACAATAAAAACCACAACACAAATTAGCATGGTTTCCTATTAGCTTCTCATATGACCACCAGTCTAACCATAAACTCTATCTACCATGAACCCAAGTTTCTAGTACTTCCAATCTCCTTATAGTTTTCCCTATTCAGAATGCAGCTATTCAGAAAAAAAATAAAATGGAATTCTGAATTTTTGTTTGGTGTGTGTGCTCAGATAGTAATATTTTTTTTAAACTCTCAATAAGGTTTGGCAATCTACTTCCATTGTGATACTGCCTCAGAAACCCAAGGAGGGGTCACTATGAGGTGGATCCAACTCAACGGCAGTGAGTTTGGTTTTTTTGGTTTAAGGAGATAAACTAGTATTTATGGAGTATTTGTTATTAGTCAGTTATTGAGGTAACTGATTTACATATATTTGAGTATATATATTTATAGCTCTATAACATAAATGATTTATTAGCACCTCAGAGAAATTAAGTAACTTGCTCAAGGACACATAGTTAAGTAGGTTTCTACCCTGGATTTGACTCAAAAGCCTAGTCTTTATCAGGAAATAATAATGAGATGTTGGCTAAATGTATCTCTAAATGTGTAAGTTCTTAAAATCACCTCTCTCTCTTTTTTTTTTTAATCAAAACACTATATTGGGCTCCTATTATTGGGGCTCAGTCCTTGGAGTTATATATACCTGACCACTCTATTTTACATCTCAATGGCACACAGCCCTCTTTGCTCATCATTAGCTATACCTCCAAACTTCCCATCCCCATCCCCAAATGCTTTAGTGATACTGTGATTCCCTCAAGTCAGTTTTGTTGTTTCATAACTGTGCCCTGGCACACAATTTCCTGGTTGTCTAGAATGTCCTTCCACATGTAGGCACTTCATAAGCTCCTACTTCCCGAGTAACCTGCTCTGAGTACTCTAAGTAAACCTTATATTCATTGCCCTAACACTGTTGACCAAATTCATCCATTCAAAAATACTTACTGTATACCTAATAAGTTCTAAAGTAGGCACTAGGGAAGACAGCAGAGTGTAAAACACACTCAGTCTCACACTTTGAATTGCACTTACATGTCTGTCTAACTCATTAAACCATGTGCTTCTAAAAGAAGGACATGCCTCTTTCATTGTTCATTGGGAGTTTTCATTAAAGTGCCCAGTGTATAGTGAGTACTCAAATGTTTGCTGAACAAATTAATGAATGCCAAGTCTGTGAATCCACACCACAGAATTTCAAGATAGAAGGAAACTTTGCATATCCTGTAATCCAATTAGCTCTCCTCTAAAACAATAGGAGATTGCCTTATGATTACAATATTTGCACATTATATATCTGGCACAACCAAGGTAAAATCAGTAGCAGAAAGGGACTTTAGTGATGAACTGATCCAACCTCTTCTCTCCACAGATTCAGAAATGATCTTCTATTTTTTTTAGCCTTTTTTAAAATTTTCTTCTGAAAGTTAAAACTGGTCCTGACAGGAAGATTTTAAATAATCAGTACAAAATTAGCAAGAATAAACTGACAAAATAGTCCACATGATAGTTTTTGGGTTATGTTGTAACTCAAAAAACCAAACTCACTGCCATCAAGTCTATTCCGACTCATAAGAAACCCTTTGGGTTTCCAAGGAGGTAAATCTTTACAGAAGTAAATTGCTCAGTCTTCCTTCCATGGAATGGCTGGTGGGTTTGAACCACCAACCTTCTGGATAGCAGTCACATGCCTTAGGCACTGTGCCACCAGAGTTCTTTATGTTACAGGTTACGTTATAGGTAGTATCAAGTGGTATAGTGTAGTGACAAAGGTGTTTATCTGAAAGTGTCATGACAATGCATAATTAGGAACCCATTTTTACCTCAGGTCTTTATTGAAGTGTAGTTCTGCCAAAGTTAGCAGAATTGAGCTTTCCATTTCTCTTTGAGAGAAAGGAGTGTTTGTAAGAGAGTACTTGCAGCTAAGGTACAGAATGCTGATTATGGCTGACAGAGCATGCAAACAGGTAAGGGAGGTGAGAGAAAGGAGAGCTAGAAGAGAGAGAGAGGTAAGAACAAGACTGAGAAAGAAAGAGACAGAGATATAGAAACAGAGTGAGCCACATAAAAAGAGAGGCAAGATGATGAGAAGTAGAGGGTGAAAGAGAGAAAAAAAGAAGATACCAGAGTGAGACCCAAAAATAAACAGATTGAGAGAAGAACATTGAAAGTATCACCTTTAGAATAAGCAGAACAATAAAACAGAGAAATAAATTAGTTAGGGTTGTGTTAAGAAAGGCTAAATTAATAAAGAAAGCATGTTTGAAGCATCTTCATATATAAAATTTAAAAAACAGTAATAATAGTACCAAAACAAGGAAGGAACAGTGCCAGAAAGAACAAGAACATTCTTGGACCTACAGAAAAGGAAGATGTGCAACTGAAGAATCCAGCCAATTCCTTGGTGAGGGGGATACTCATATCAGAAAAGGTACCTTTAAGTCTATGTTTATGGTTAAAACAATTACATATAAAATGTTATTCTTATTCTAGTGTACTAATCTCAACAAATTCTTTAATCATCTTCCTAAAATCCTGAGTTGAAGATTCTCTCTAGTACAACAACATGTGGTTGTCGCTGTTGTTATGTGCCGTCGAGTCGGACCCAACTCATAGTGACCCTTCCTTGGGTTTCCTAGGCAGTATCACTATGGAAGTAGATTGTCCAACCTTCCTTCCGAGGAGTGGCTGGTAGGTTTGAACCACCAGCCTTCTGGTTAGCAGTCAAGTGCCTTAGGCACTACGCTATTAGAGCTCCCACGCATGCACATAGGTGTGTACAAATGAACTATTTAGACTATTTATAACCTATATGAACACAACATCAATTCTTTTGCCCTGTGGGAAAAGTCCTGAATGCCGACTTTTACTAAATCTGTGCATGCTTCAGGGTCTCAGAGAATCTCTCAAAACAAAATATTTCATCTGAAACGTTCTCGTGTATTTTCTCCAAATGACAATGCGAGGAATACTACCGTGTTAGTAATCCAGTCCTTCTGGGTTAACTCCTTAAAGGTGTTTCTTGCTTTATTTAAATCTAAATGAATAGACATCGTCTCTGCAGCTATTCTGTAGAAACAAGATAAACACAGAAGTGGATAGTTAAATAAATGAAAATGAATACTTCTAAATGAAGTACATTATTTTATTATATTAACTACCTAAATGCAAATTTTCTTCTAAATCTTGCTGCATTTTAATAAAATTACCCTTTCTCTCAGCTATACTAAGGAGCGTTGATGGTGGAGTGGGTAAGTTAGTGATTCAAACCCACCAGCTGCTCTGCAAGATGAAGATGAGGCAATCTACTTCGGTAAAGATTTACAGCCTTGGAAACGCAATGGGGTTGCTGAGTTGGAACAGACTTGACGGTAGTTGGTTTGTTTTTTTTTTTTTTTTGAGTTTCTCAACTATACCAGAATTTTAATACCTTGGGCAAATACAAATACAGTATGCAACAAATGATTTTTAAATGGCAAAAAAATTATCAAGGCTGCACTACCATATAGTGTGTGTGTGTGTGTGTGTGTGTATATATATATATATATATATATATATATATTATCAGACTTTAACTCCGATATTACCTTATCTAAAATGGATAATCAATAAATATTTCTTATCCAGTAAAAAAACTGTCACAGGAAAAAATGTAGATGTTTTTCCTGTTTCTTTAAAAATATGACCATTTCTTCCAATTATTAGAACTGAAAACGTGGACCAAAAGAAAGAGCTTCAGAGGACACAAAGTAGGCTAAAATGAATTATTAACTCCTAGTATTTCAACAGAATATTATTAATGCAATGTGTAAGTATCTTAACCTACAAATGATGTTTATATTGAACTGAATATATTTATTAAAACTAGAAGCATTTTTGTGAAACAATACATATATTTAGTGACCGAAAATTGGAAAAAATTTTCTTTTAAAGAAACAATGTGCAAAATTTCAGAAAAAAGTAATTATTTCAGACTAATTCTCTAGTATTTCTATCAAACTGAAAGAAAATTTAATATTTAGCAGTAAGGAAATGGTTCAATAACGTAAGGTATGTCAATCCCATGGGATAATATATAGCCATGAAAATGATGTAGCAGAAACACATTGAATAATACAGATAATGGAAAATTAATGTAAAGAAAGATATAAAACAATATGATCCCACTTTTTGTGAAAAAATACATTGGCATATAGAAGGATACATCCACAAACTCTTAAATAGTGGATTAAGAGTGATTTTAATTTCCTTCTTGCTATATGTATTTCATTTTGACATTTTCTCCAATAATCATATATTTGCTTTTGTAGGAAAAAAAAAAAAAGAAAGAAAATGAAAGTAAATTTAAAAATGAAAGAAACTAATTATTTTACCCTTGGAAAATAATGCCTGAACTGAATATATTATCCAAAAATTGAAGCTTTTTTTTTTTTTTTTGTAAAATATTTTAAGACTTTCACAGTATTTTTAGTAGAATTTTATTTTATTATATGTTACCTTTTCTTTGAAAAACTTCCAGTTAAACAAGCAGGAGATGAAAATATCTCTGTGATTTCCCTACATAAGATACAAGACAGTAGTTAAAATAAATTAAATCATACAGTATGCCTCATTATATGATGAGATGTGATAAATAAACCACCTCATAACTGTTCTCTGAGCTTCTCCCTGTCTCCTATCTTTTGCATAGTATCATGGGCATCTAAAATGTCTATTTCATTTGCTAAATCTCAAAATTTCAGTGGCAAACATGGAAAATAAAAACATATACTCAGAGAAGCCATGGAGAAAGAAGAAAAGGCTTGACCTAGGGTCAGCATTTTCAAGGGCAAATAAAACACTCTCAGCCACCCAACTTCCCAGACCCTATTTATTTCTGTTTGGCAGCACTTAAGTAGAAACAAACAAAAATAGCAGAAATTAAGTGGGAGAAGGTGAGACTGAGTTTCATTTTAGGAGTAAATTCCACAGACAATTCTTGATAATTTATGCTCTGCAAATTAAGATGTACAACTATTTCCCAAAACTACAAAGTCATAACTGAAATTATGTCTAAAAGATGTTTCTAAGTATGAGTAAAATCTTTACAGATGATAGGAGCAGGGCTGGCAAACTATTGAGCTATTTTTTTTTTATTTTTCTTTTTCATGGTGTTCCTGGTTTGTTTCATACAAATTTTCTGTGGTGAGCTCATTATGTTTATGAATCATGTTATCATTTCCTTTATTGCTATTGTTTTAATATTTGCTAAATATTTGTGCTTGTCCTTTTTTATTGGGATATGAAAGTTATCACTTTTCTTTGAAGTTATCCTGTGATTATATTTTTCTCCCCGAGTTTAGAACAGTCCATTCTATCTTGAAACTCTCTTGACTTCCTTACCATTTAGAAGTTCTGTAACTACCCTCTTTTTCCCTCTTTTTGGTTTGTAGTTGTCCTCATTTGCCAATTGATGTCTCTGGTTCCCTGTTTACAATCTTGTAAGCTTATTGTACTTTGGATATGTCCACAGTTGTGTTGGTTTCTAGGTTAAGTCATCTTGTGTATTAATGGTTGCTTATTGTTTGCTATTATTGGTTCTGTGTTTAAAGGACACCCTTTAGTATCTCTTGTAAGGTTGGTCTGGTTTTAACAAATTTCCTTCATTTCTGCTTATCTGGAAATCTCCTAATTTCACCATCATATTTGAGAGATAATTTTGCTAGGTATATAATTCTTGGTTGGAAATTTTCCTCTTTCAGGGTTTTATACATACAAGCCCATTGCCTTCACACTTGCATGGTTTCTGCTGAGAAATCAGAACTTATTCTTATTGGTTGTCCTTTGTAAGTAACTTTTTGTTTTTCCCATGCTGCTTTCAGGATTCTTTCTTTGTCTTTGGTTTTGATGAGTTAATATGTCTTGGTGATTTTCTTTTGGGGTCTATTCTGTTTGGGGTTCATGGGACTTTCTAAATGGATATATTCTCATCTTTCATAATATCAGGGAAGTTCTCTTCCAACAAATCTTGGACAATTTTCTCCAGTGGTTTTCTTTTTATCTTCCTGTTCTAGAATTACAATTACATGTAGGTTATTCCTTTTGATGGTATCCCACATGAACCTTAGGCTTTCTTCATCTTGTTTTGATCTTTTTTCTGACTATTCCCTTTCCAAAGAAGTATTCAGGTATGTCTTCAATCTCATTAATTCTGTCTTCCATTGATTCAGTTCTACTCCTTTGCCCTTTCAATATGTTACCTATTTCTGAAAATTTAGTATTAATCTTCCAGATTTCTATCTGTAGATTTTGTATCATTTCTAATTTTTCATTTATATTGTCATTTTGTTCTTGTACTTTCCTTCCAAAATTGTTCTAGGGTTTTGTCTTAATTTTCCTTAATTTTGTCAGTGTTTTCCTTGATCTGTCTCTCAGTCCTTTGAAGATACCTAAGTAAAATTCTTTTGACTTCCTTATCAGGGAGTTCCAATGCTGCTGCTTCCTCAGAAATGTGTTCTGGGTCTATATCCTGCTCCCTTGTTTCTACCACTTTATCTTGTTTCTTTGTGTAGACTGTGATTATCTGTTGTCTCCAAGGCATTGCAACATTGTTGTATTTAGATCTCTATTAACTGTTCATGAAGGGCAGTAAGGGTGAGTCAGGCTCTTTTTGGTGGTTGTTTATTATTGGCCAATTGGTGGAGAAGGAAGTGGTGGCTCTCAGTAAGTTGAACTGCAGGAGGTGCAGGTGTGGTTGTGTTGTATGGGCATGGTTGCTGTCTCCCACTTAGTTAGACAAATATAACAATTGAAAAACCATAAAAAAAGTAAAAGCAAGTGGACAAAACACATACCACATAAAGACACAGGAACAATCACCAAAAAAGAAAAAGCCCGCAATATCTGGGGAGAGGGCAATAAGAGAAAAAAGGCAGAGTAGGAGAAAAATTAAGAAAAAACTGGGAAAAAATGCAGAAAGAAAACAAGGAACAGGGTTAACCATGAGAAAGAAAAAAATTGGAACCAGGAACAGAGAAGAGAGAAAAAGCTGAAAACTAGAATTTGGGAAGGGAAGAAAAAAGTTAAATAATAGAAAGGACAATAATAATAATAATAATAATTATTTTAAAACAGACTAAAACAAACAAACTAAAAAAGGAAAAAA